ACGTCTGCCCAGCCGAACCCGCGGTTCACGAGTCAAGTGAGTCAAGTCCCAAGTCAAGTGAGTCAAGTCCCGAGTCAAGTGAGTCAAGTCCCGAGTCAAGTGAGTCAAGTCCCGAGTCAAGTGAGTCAAGTCCCGAGTCAAGTGAGTCAAGTCCCGAGTCAAGTGAGTCAAGTCCCGAGTCAAGTCCCGAGTCAAGTCCCGAGTCAAGTCCCGAGTCAAGTGAGTCAAGTCCCGAGTCAAGTGAGTCAAGTCCCGAGTCAAGTGAGTCAAGTCCCGAGTCAAGTGAGTCAAGTCCCGAGTCAAGTGAGTCAAGTCCCGAGTCAAGTGAGTCAAGTCCCGAGTCAAGTGAGTCAAGTCCCGAGTCAAGTGAGTCAAGTCTCGAGTCATGTGAATCAAGTGAGTCAAGTGAGTCAAGTGCCAAGTCAAGTGAATCGAGTGAGTCAAGTGCCAAGTCAAGTGAATCAAGTGCCGTGTCAAGTGAATCAAGTGAATCGAGTGAGTCAAGTGCCAAGTCAAGTGAGTCAAGAGCCGAGTCAAGTGAGTCAAATGCCAAGACAAGTGAGTCAAGTGCCGAATCTAACCAAGTGAGTGAATCTAGCCAAGTGAGAGTATCAAGCCCAGTGACTCGCCGTCGCAGGATCCGGTGGGCGTTCCCAGACTCCTCGCCCTGCCGGCCCCGCCTCTGGGCCTCGCCCCGCCTCTGCGCCTCGCCCTGCCGGCCCCGCCTCTGCGCCTCGCCCTGCCGGCCCCGCCTCTGGGCCTCGCCCCGCCTCTGCGCCTCGCCCTGCCGGCCCCGCCTCTGCGCCTCGCCCTGCCTCTGCGCCTCGCCCTGCCGGCCCCGCCTCTGCGCCTCACCCTGCCGGCCCCGCCCTGCCGGCCCCGCCTCTGCGCCTGCCCTGCCGGCCCCGCCTGTGCGCCTCGCCCTGCCGGCCCCGCCTCTGCGCCACGCCCTGCCGGTCCCGTCTCTGCTCTTCGCCCTGCCAATCTCTCTCAAGCTCCATGAGACTGTCCCAGAGTCCGTTGCCAGCCCGGAGGTTGTCCCCCTTGGTTCTCCCAAGTATTTTTTTTGGGGGGGGGCAGTAGGAGGTCCCACGAGAGGGTCATGGAGGCAGCGCTGACATGGACCTTGTCGGCGCTATCTCCTCCTGAGCCTCCTATGCCCTGGTCCCCTGCCAAGCGTGCCCCGCCCTGGCTGCCATCACGTCCTGCTCCGCCCTGGTCTTCGCCTCGTCCTGCTCCGCCCTGGCCTTCGCCTCGTCCTGCTCCGCCCTGGTCACCGGCCCAGTCTGGTCCGCCCACGCTCTGCGGCCCAGGCCCGCCTTGCCTGGGTCCAGGTCCCGTTCCCCTGCATGGGCCTGGCCCCCCATCCCTCCCCCAAGACCGCCCTCCTGGACTTTTTTGTTTGTTTTATTGGGCTTCAGGAGCCGCCCATAGGGAGGGGGCTATGTTACGATGTGGTTTTGTGTCCTGTCATGTTTAGTGGTTCCCTGTCTTGTCATTAGTTCTCCCAGGTGTTTCTTGTTATCCACGCCCCCTTGTTATCCTGTCTGCTCGTTTGTCTTTGATTATTTAAGCCCTGTGTTTCTGCCCTGTCTTTGTCAGTTATTGAATGCATTTACGTACCACGAGTGTCTTGCCTGTTCTGAGTTTACCCAAGTCTGTATTATTAAAGTCTACTGCTGCATTTAGATCTGACTACCGCCTTTGCTTCCACGCAATTCGTGACAAATTGGTTAGATATTGAATCCTCCTTTTCACAATTTCCTTTAAGAGATCTTCTTTTTTGTTAGGAGTTTTCAAAAAAATAAAATGAATTTATGATAATCCAATTATAGTTAACACTCTGAAGGCATGGAGATCGGTCTGTAGGCTTGAAGGTAGATCTAAATTGACTTCTTTCTTTACCCCAATATTTAATGAATGATGGTTTTAAACGTTGGTGTAACTTGGGACTTATTAGGCTTGGGGATATTTTTTCAGACAGTAAATTAATTTCATTTATGGACTTAACTCAGAAGTATCAGTTGTTCAAACAAGATTTTTTTCGTTTCCTCCAATTGAGACATTATATTACTAATAACACAACACTTGTTAGGAATTGTGAAATATCTTCAATTCAGAGGTTATTTTTATCATCAGGAAAAATGTCTCTGGGTTGGTTTTAAAACTAGTATTAAACTAGAGTATTAAAACTAAATGGGAAAGAAGAGTTAGCTATTGACATTGATGATGAAACATGGGATGGCATTTGGTTTTATGCTAAGAAAATATCTGTTTGTACACGTTCAAGAGAAATACATTTTAAAATCATACATAGACTCCATATTTTCCCAAACCGCAGACATTTTTTAACCCCTCTCTATCGTCTATGTGTTTAAATTGTAAAACTGAAATAGGTACTTTAACACATTGGGCCCTATTTTAACGATCTGAAACGCAAGCATCAAGCGCGAAGCACACGTAACTTTGTGGGCGGGTCTTGGGCGCTGTTGCTATTTTACCGGCGGGATAAATTACTCTTGCGCCGACGCAAGTTTAAAAGGGGTTGGTCTGAAATAGCTTCATTATTCATAGGTGTGGTTTGGGCGTAACGTGAAATAAACCAATCAGAGCGTCATCTCACATTCCCTTTAAGAGCAGGTGCGCATGTTGCATGGCGGATTGCTATTATAACGGTGGATTTACCAGGCGCGCGCCAGGAGCGGTTCACAGCCGAGGAGAGCGGCGTTCTTGTCAGGGCAGTGAAAGACAGAGAAGTGCCGTTGTATGGGGATGGGAGATTTTTTTTTTTGGTTCTTGACGGACAAACTAATTTGTCAGATGTCCTTATATATGTGTCTTGCCACTATTGGGCAGGTCTGATCCGTCATTACTACAGTTAGCCTGAAACATTTGGGTAAATGTGTAAGCTAGATTTAGGCCTACATTTTTTTTACATCTTCATGGACACCACAATGATTTCCCTCATGTGTTAACATTTTTCCTTGTTATGATGTATGATTTGCAAAAATAAAAACTGCTGCATCTGTGTTGATGAGAGAATCAAATTGTATGCGCGTTGTGCACCCGCTACATTATGGCCAAGCATGCGCGCTTAAAATAGCATTATGAACAACGCGCAATGCACCACTGACTTTAGACTAGGTTTTTTCTGGTCAGTGGCGCAATTGTTTTCTGGAACTGCAAAATAGCACTAGGGAATGTTTGCGCCGAAACACGCCTCCTTTTTGCGCCGACCCGCCCAGGGAGCGCAAGTTCATTTCCTAGTTTACCAACGTGCGTCTGTGGAGGGAAAAGCCCGCTTTGCGCGGGTGCAAAATATGAATGATACATGCGTCAGTGTACAAAGTAATTTGCGCCGGGTGCAAGATAGGGCCCATTGTCTGTGGTCATGTAACAGACTGCAACGGTATTGGTGTTTGGTTCTGGGGGAAATGGAAAAGATCTTCAATATTCAGTTGGATTTTGACCCAGTGTCACTGGTGTAGGGTATACCTAATGGACGCATTGTTTCATGTGCTAATAAGAAATTGTACAATATTCTATCCTTTGCTGCCAGAAATGTTTTTTATTTAATTGGATCAGTGATAAATCTCCATCTCTTAAAGGGTGGCAGAAGGTCATTTTTGAGTTGATTCCCCTGGAGCGTCTTACCTATGCATTACATCAAAAAAAATGCCAGTTTTATAAAGTCTGGACCCCATATCTTTACTATTTGGAAATCCATCTTTGCCCTATTAAATTACAAGGAATTTTGTAATTGTATAACTCCCTGGACATTGAACCTTTGTCCTCTTCTGCATCTTTTTGAAATATGTTATTGTTTTGTTTTTATTCTCTAACCTGTTTTATTATGGCATAGGCCTGGTTTATATATAAATCGGAGCTATTGCTTTTCCTTTATTTTATTTTATTTTATTGAATTGTAATTTTATTTTTATTGAATTTGTTAGCGATGTCTTGTTATATTTGTATTATAATTAAAAATTCAATAAATATATATATATATTTATAGACAAAGAATTACAGCAGGAGATCACTGTAGATTTGAAAATCATGCTTTTCCCCATAATTGTTGAATTACGGAAGCTACACCAGTTACTTTTTTGCCAAGAGATTTCTTATTTCTTATTTTTATAAACGTATCAGACAGAGAGAAACAGGCATAGAAGGAAAAGGCTACAGGTGAGGAGGTCGTCATTCCAGATTCCTCTCTTATTCGTTTCTCTATCCTCTCACCCCATCATGCCAGCTGTAATGGTTTCTCCTCCCTCACCCCCACATCTCTCTATGCTTCTCTGAGTCGGTACAGTAAGGATTAAGCTTATATACACCACTCTGGAACTTTGTAAGGTAGAAAAACATGTTGCTTATGTTTAAAAATGGAACGTATACCTCATGCTTACACATTTCCATTTTAAGAAACTATTTCTCAGTGTATACATTTGTGGTACATTCGCATCAGTTGAAACATTCCTTTCCTTGTAAAGAACATACCAATTGTACACATTTAATGTATCATCATCATTGGAACATCTCTGCTCAGTGAACGTTGCTTTGCACATATACCTTTAATATATATAACTCTCCCACCTCCCCTCCTTGTCTAAAATATGATCCTTAAACACGTGTCCATGCAATCTATAGTCGAACTCATGCATTTAAAACTTCATAAGAAAATGCAACTGATTATGAAAACTAATAAAGAATAATAATACAGATACATAATATTAAATAATGAAATTATATTAAAAGATGAAATTTTAGTCCTCATTCACATTTACAGAATAAAACAAATACAATAATATGAGGAGTAAATGTACAGAGATTAGTTAATATGCAGGGATATGCAGACAAACAAACTGAAACGTAACATGAAGGGGTTTGCAAAGGTGACATACAGTATATTTGACAGTACACATACTATAGCAGTCAGCAGACCTCATTCATGAGTTTTCCTTTCAGATCAAATATTAATCATTCCTGTCCTGTTTCTGCAGGCAGCGCTCTTGACATCTCAGACGTGTCTCTGATCAATCCAGACCCGGTGGTGTCTTCGGCGAACCTGCCGTCACTCCTGTGTGTGAGCAGTGACTGGACCGGTTCTGGCGGCTCCAGTTCGCTGAGTTTGGGCCACGAGTATCCTGATGTGGACGCTCATGTTTTGAGCACTGAACCGGACCGAAGCCGCCACTCTGCCGCTAAAGTCACGTGGATTTCCCGCAATCACACATTTGGAGCTTTTTACTGCCAAGTCAAAAACTCGAACGGGAGTAAAATCTACACCTACAAGATGCTCTATGAAGGTAGTAAATCTTTTTTGAAAGGAAATCCTTGTTTGTAACGGCACTGGCCAGGATAAAGACATACACTGCTCTTGTAAACTGATCATATGTCGTTTTTTTAACTATTTCCTTTTTCTTCAGCTGACTTTTACCCTGAATCTCTGACAATCACTGTTAACAAAGGTGAAGACGTTAAACTCTCTTTCACGACAAAGAAATATTTACAAGAGGACATAGTCATCTATAAAAACGGTAGGAACTCATGAACAAACATCTGTGCATTGTTTTATTGTGACGTTCCTTGAGAAATTACATTTACATTTAATCATTTAGCAGATGTTTTTATCCAAAGTTACTTACAAATGAGGAGAGCAATAAAAGCAATCAAACCAACAATAGTGCAACAATATGCAAGTGTTGTGACGAGTCCCAGTTAGTCCAGTAACCTTTATTTCTATAGTGCTTTTTACAATACAGATTGTTTCAAAGCAGCTTTACAGAGATAACAGGAAACAGGACAGCACAGGACACGTAGCAAGCTTTAAAAAATGTTTTAGTAGATATATTGAATAGTAAGTGTTAGTCTTAATAGGTCAAATGTTGACAAAAAGATGCATCTGTGAGTGAGTGAGCGAGTGTGTGAGTGAGTGAGTGAGTGAGTGAGTGAGTGAGTCAGTGAGTGAGTGAGTGAGTGTGAGAGTGAGTGAGTGAGTCAGTGAGTGAGTGAGTGAGTGAGTGAGTGAGTGAGCGAGTGTGTGAGTGAGTGAGTGAGTGAGTCAGTGAGTGAGTGAGTGAGTGTGAGAGTGAGTGAGTGAGTGAGTGAGTGTGAGAGTGAGTCAGTGAGTGAGTGTGTGAGTCAGTGAGTCAGTGAGTCAGTGAGTGAGTGAGTGAGTGAGTCAGTGAGTGAGTGAGTGAGTCAGTGAGTGAGTGAGTGAGTCAGTGAGTGAGTGAGTGAGTGTGAGAGTGAGTGAGTGAGTGAGTGTGAGAGTGAGTGAGTGAGTGTGAGAGTGAGTGTGTGAGTGAGTGAGTCAGTGAGTGAGTGAGTGAGTCAGTGAGTCAGTGAGTGAGTGAGTGAGTGAGTCAGTGAGTGAGTGAGTGTGAGAGTGAGTGAGTGAGTGAGTGAGTGTGAGAGTGAGTGAGTGAGTCAGTGAGTGAGTGTGTGAGTGAGTGAGTGAGTGAGTGAGTGAGTGAGTCAGTGAGTGAGTGAGTGAGTGAGTCAGTGAGTGTGTGAGTGAGTGAGTCAGTGAGTGAGTGAGTGAGTCAGTGAGTGAGTGAGTGTGTGAGTGAGTGAGTGTGAGAGTGAGTGTGTGAGTGAGTCAGTGAGTGAGTGAGTGTGGGAGTGAGTGAGTGAGTGAGTCAGTGAGTGAGTGTGAGAGTGAGTGTGAGAGTGAGTGAGTGAGTGAGTGAGTGAGTGAGTGAGTGAGTGAGTGAGTGAGAGAGTGAGTCAGTGAGTCAGTGAGTGAGTGAGTGAGTGAGTGAGTGAGTGAGTGAGTGAGTGAGTGAGTGAGTGTGAGAGTGAGTGAGTGAGTGAGTGAGTGAGTGAGTGAGTGAGTGAGTGAGTGAGTGAGTGAGTGAGTGTGAGAGTGAGTGAGTGAGTGAGTCAGTCAGTGAGCGAGTGAGTGAGTCAGTCAGTCAGTGAGTGAGTGAGTGAGTGAGAGAGTGAGTGAGTGAGTCAGTGAGTGAGTGTGAGAGTGAGTGAGTGAGTGAGTCAGTCAGTGAGTGAGTGAGTGAGTGAGTCAGTGAGTGAGTCAGTGAGTCAGTGAGTGAGTGAGTGTGGGAGTGAGTGAGTGAGTGAGTCAGTGAGTGAGTGTGAGAGTGAGTGTGAGAGTGTGAGAGTGAGTGAGTGAGTGAGTGAGTGAGTGAGTGAGAGAGTGAGTCAGTGAGTGAGTGAGTGAGTGAGTGAGTGAGTGAGTGAGTGAGTGAGTGAGTGAGTGAGTGAGTGAGTGAGTGAGTGAGTGAGTGAGTGAGTGAGTGTGAGAGTGAGTGAGTGAGTGAGTGTGAGAGTGAGTGAGTGAGTGAGTGAGTGAGTCAGTCAGTGAGCGAGTGAGTGAGTCAGTCAGTCAGTGAGTGAGTGAGTGAGTGAGAGAGTGAGTGAGTGAGTCAGTGAGTGAGTGTGAGAGTGAGTGAGTGAGTGAGTGAGTCAGTCAGTGAGTGAGTGAGTGAGTGAGTGAGTGAGTGAGTCAGTGAGTGAGTGAGTGAGTGAGTGAGTGAGTGAGTGAGTGAGTGAGTGAGTGAGTGAGTGAGTGAGTGAGTGAGTGAGTGAGTGAGTGAGTGAGTGAGTGAGTGAGTGAGTGAGTGAGTGAGTGAGTGAGTGTGAGAGTGAGTGAGTGAGTGAGTGAGTGAGTCAGTCAGTGAGCGAGTGAGTGAGTGAGTGAGTGAGTCAGTGAGTCAGTGAGTGAGTGAGTGAGTGAGTCAGTGAGTGAGTGAGTGAGTGTGAGAGTGAGTGAGTGAGTGAGTGAGTGTGAGAGTGAGTGAGTGAGTCAGTGAGTGAGTGTGTGAGTGAGTGAGTGAGTGAGTGAGTCAGTGAGTGAGTGAGTGAGTGAGTCAGTGAGTGTGTGAGTGAGTGAGTCAGTGAGTGAGTGAGTGAGTCAGTGAGTGAGTGAGTGTGTGAGTGAGTGAGTGTGAGAGTGAGTGTGTGAGTGAGTCAGTGAGTGAGTGAGTGTGGGAGTGAGTGAGTGAGTGAGTCAGTGACTGAGTGTGAGAGTGAGTGAGTGAGTGAGTGAGTGAGTGAGTGAGTGAGTGAGTGAGTGAGTGAGTGAGTGAGAGAGTGAGTCAGTGAGTGAGTGAGTGAGTGAGTGAGTGAGTGAGTGAGTGAGTGAGTGAGTGAGTGTGAGAGTGAGTGAGTGAGTGAGTGTGAGAGTGAGTGAGTGAGTGAGTGAGTCAGTCAGTGAGCGAGTGAGTGAGTCAGTCAGTCAGTGAGTGAGTGAGTGAGTGAGAGAGTGAGTGAGTGAGTCAGTGAGTGAGTGTGAGAGTGAGTGAGTGAGTGAGTCAGTCAGTGAGTGAGTGAGTGAGTGAGTCAGTGAGTGAGTCAGTGAGTCAGTAAGTGAGTCAGTGAGTGAGTCAGTGAGTGAGTGTGAGTCAGTGAGTCAGTGAGTCAGTGAGTGAGTGTGAGTGAGTGAGTCATTGAGTGAGTGAGTGAGTCAGTGAGTGAGTGAGTCAGTGAGTCAGTGAGTCAGTGAGTGAGTGAGTGAGTCAGTGAGTGAGTCAGTGAGTGAGTCAGTGAGTGAGTCAGTGAGTGAGTGAGTGAGTGAGTGAGTCAGTGAGTGAGTCAGTGAGTCAGTGAGGGAGTGAGTCAGTGAGTGAGTCAGTGAGTGAGTCAGTGAGTGAGTCAGTGAGTGTGAGAGTGAGTGAGTCAGTGAGTGAGTCAGTCAGAGAGTGAGTGAGTCAGTGAGTCAGTGAGTAAGTGTGAGTGAGTGAGTCATTGAGTGAGTGAGTGAGTGAGTGAGTGAGTGAGTCAGTGAGTCAGTGAGTGAGTGAGTCAGTGAGTGAGTCAGTGAGTCAGTGAGTGAGTGAGTGAGTGAGTGAGTGAGTGAGTCAGTGAGTCAGTGAGTGAGTGAGTGAGTGAGTGAGTGAATCAGTGAGTGAGTGAGTGTGAGAGTGTGTGAGTGTGAGAGTGAGTGAGTGAGTGAGTGAGTGAGTGAGTGAGTCAGTGAGTGAGTGAGTGAGTGAGTGAGTCAGTGAGTCAGTGAGTGAGTGAGTGAGTGAGTGAGTGAGTGAGTGAGTCAGTGAGTCAGTGAGTCAGTGAGTGAGTGAGTGAGTGAGTGAGTGAGTCATTGAGTGAGTCAGTGAGTGACTGTGAGAGTGAGTGAGTGTGAGAGTGAGTGAGTCAGTGAGTGAGTGAGTGAGTGAGTGAGTCAGTGAGTGAGTGAGTGAGTGAGTGATTGAGTCAGTGAGTGAGTGAGTGAGTGAGTGAGTGAGTCAGTCAGTGAGTGAGTGAGTGAATCAGTGAGTGAGTGAGTGAGTGAGTCAGTGAGTGAGTGAGTGTGTGAGTGTGAGAGTGAGTGAGTGAGTGAGTGAGTGAGTCAGTGAGTGAGTGAGTGAGTGAGTGAGTGAGTGAGTGAGTGAGTGAGTGAGTGAGTCAGTGAGTCAGTGAGTGAGTGAGTGAGTGAGTGAGTCATTGAGTGAGTGAGTGAGTCAGTGAGTGACTGTGAGAGTGAGTGAGTGTGAGAGTGAGTGAGTCAGTGAGTGAGTGAGTGATTGAGTCAGTGAGTGAGTGAGTGAGTGAGTGAGTGAGTGAGTGAGTGAGTGAGTCAGTGAGTGAGTCAGTGAGTGAGTCAGTGAGTGAGTGTGAGAGTGAGTCAGTGAGTGAGTGAGTGAGTGAGTGAGTGAGTGAGTGAGTGAGTAAGTGAGTGATTGGGTCAGTGAGTGAGTGAGTGAGTGAGTGAGTTAGTCAGTGAGTGAGTGAGTGAGTCAGTGAGTGAGTCAGTGAGTCAGTGAGTGAGTGAGTGAGTGAGTGAGTGAGTGAGTGAGTGAGTCAGTGAGTCAGTGAGTGAGTGAGTGAGTGAGTGAGTCAGTGAGTCAGTGAGTGAGTGAGTGAGTGAGTGAGTCAGTCAGTGAGTGAGTCAGTGAGTGAGTCAGTGAGTGAGTCAGTGAGTGAGTGTGAGAGTGAGTCAGTGAGTGAGTGAGTGAGTGAGTGAGTGAGTGAGTGAGTAAGTGAGTGATTGGGTCAGTGAGTGAGTGAGTGAGTGAGTGAGTTAGTCAGTGAGTGAGTGAGTGAGTCAGTGAGTGAGTCAGTGAGTCAGTGAGTGAGTGAGTGAGTGAGTGAGTGAGTGAGTGAGTGAGTCAGTGAGTCAGTGAGTGAGTGAGTGAGTGAGTGAGTCAGTGAGTCAGTGAGTGAGTGAGTGAGTGAGTGAGTCAGTCAGTGAGTCAGTGAGTCAGTGAGTGAGTCAGTCAGTGAGTGAGTGAGTGAGTGAGTGAGTCAGTGAGTCAGTGAGTGAGTCAGTGAGTGAGTCAGTGAGTGAGTGAGTGAGTGAGTGAGTGAGTCAGTGAGTCAGTGAGTGAGTGAGTGAGTGAGTCAGTGAGTGAGTCAGTGAGTGAGTCAGTGAGTGAGTGAGTGAGTCAGTGAGTGAGTCAGTGAGTGAGTCAGTGAGTGAGTCAGTGAGTGAGTCAGTGAGTGAGTCAGTGAGTGAGTCAGTGAGTCAGTGAGTGAGTGAGTGAGTCAGTGAGTCAGTGAGTCAGTCAGTGAGTGAGTGAGTGAGTGAGTCTGAGTGAGTGAGTGAGTGAGTGCAGGTACAACTGAAGAAGAAAGGGTTTGAAGGAGAGGGGAGAGGATCGAGCAGACAGGTTGTAGGTGATTGGAAAGGATGAGTTTGAAGACTTCTGCCTCTGAGAGAGGAGAGAAGGAGGGGAGAGTGTGTGTGTTTGCTGTTAAGATGTGTGTGTCAGTTTGTGGTCTGAAAAATCTGCAGAGGATGGTTGTTTTATTAATGAAGAATGTGGCAGCAGTCGTCAGTGATTAGGGTTGATGGAGGAGGAGGGTTAAGATGAGAGAAGGTTTTGAAAAGCATGTTTTTGTGGTTCTAGCTGTTGTTTTTTTGTTTGTTTTTCAGGAAATTTTGAACACTCATCACCCAAAGAAGACATTATGGACATAATTCATTTCCCAATAACCAACACAAAAGCAAGTCATGCTGGATTATATTCCATCCGTTACATTTCTAAAGCTAAGTTCAGCTCAGCAATAACCCGACTGATTGTCAGGAGTAAGTCCTTCAGTTCATGCTTTCTTACCTAACGCCACAATAATTGAACACACTCTCTAATGGTGCAAAAAGTACACACTTGACATTTAAATTACAAGCGATGACTGTGAAATATTTGAGATTGAATGTGTCATGATCATAAAGATTCATAATACTGCTCCTCACTGTAAGTTGCACTGTAAAATGTCTTTATTGGCGAATCCATTGGGTTAAGTGTTTCTTTAGGAGTTTGTGGGAGGAGCCCTAATACATTTGTCTGGACACGCCAGCACAATTAGGTTGCTTTAAACCATTTGCTGAATGTGTAGAAAAGGATCATGTTCATATTATCTTCCCCTGTCAATTGAAGTTCCTGTTACATCCCAGCAGTATGTACGCTTATGTTGTGTAACGGTCAGTTGTTATGCTAACAGGTTGTAAGGCCGGTTTATGGGGCGTGAATTGTGCGAAACCGTGTCTGCCCTGCGCTAATGGAGGCGTGTGTCACGACGGGACGGGAGAATGCATCTGCCCTCCAGGCTTTCACGGACCCACCTGTCAAACCGGTAACACTCATATTCTTTGCCAATATACTCAGAGAGGACCCGTTTATTACAAGGGATGTATTTAGTTCTAATGTTAACATGATCGTTCTATGAATCAGACCCTATTTCGACAGGTTTTTATGGCTAGGTTCTCAAATGTGGGTTAGGGTTAGGTATGTGTTCTCTTCTGTGGAGTGTGTGTCGAGAGCATGAGGATGAAGTGTATGGTTGTGTGTTCTCTCATGAGGATGAAGTGTGGGTTTGTGTGTTCTCTCGTGTCAGTGTGTGGCGAGGGCCGCTTTGGCCCCACCTGTAAGGAGCGTTGTGTGTTCTTTTGTGTGTGAGTGTGTGTGTGTGTGTGTGTGTGTGTGTATCTGTGTGTGTGTGTGTGTGTGTGTGTGTTCTCTCGTGTCAGTATGTGGCGAGGGCCGCTTTGGCCCCAGCTGTAAGGAGTGTTGTGTGTTCTCTTGTGTGTGTGTGTATCTGTGTGTGTGTGTGTGTTAGTGTGTGTGTTCTCTCGTGTCAGTGTGTGGCGAGGGCCGCTTTGGCCCCAGCTGTAAGGAGCGTTGTGTTGTGTCTGTGTGTGTGTGTGTGTTAGTGTGTGTGTTCTCTCGTGTCAGTATGTGGCGAGGGCCGCTTTGGCCCCAGCTGTAAGGAGCGTTGTGTGTTCTCTCATATGTGTGTGTGTGTGTGTTCTCTTGTGTCAGTGAGTGGCGACGGTTGCTTTGGCCCCAGCTGTAAGGAGCGTTGTGTGTTCTCTCATGTGTGTGTGTGTGTGTGTGTGTGTTCTCTTGTGTCAGTGTGTGGCGAGGGCCGCTTTGGCCCCAGCTGTAAGGAGCGTTGTGTGTTCTCTCATGTGTGTATGTGTGTGTGTGTGTGTTCTCGTGTCAGTGTGTGGCGAGGGCCGCTTTGGCCCCAGCTGTAAGGAGCGTTGTGTGTTCTCTCATGTGTGTGTGTGTGTGTGTGTTCTCGTGTCAGTGTGTGGCGAGGGCCGCTTTGGCCCCAGCTGTAAGGAGCGTTGTGTGTTCTCTCATGTGTGTGTGTGTGTGTGTTCTCGTGTCAGTGTGTGGCGAGGGCCGCTTTGGCCCCAGCTGTAAGGAGCGTTGTGTGTTCTCTCATGTGTGTGTGTGTGTGTGTGTTCTCTCATGTGTGTGTGTGTTCTCGTGTCAGTGTGTGGCGAGGGCCGCTTTGGCCCCAGCTGTAAGGAGCGTTGTGTGTTCTCTCATGTGTGTGTGTGTGTGTGTGTTCTCTCATGTGTGTGTGTGTTCTCGTGTCAGTGTGTGGCGAGGGCCGCTTTGGCCCCAGCTGTAAGGAGCGTTGTGTGTTCTCTCATGTGTGTGTGTGTGTGTGTGTTTTCTCGTTTCAGTGTGTGGCGAGGGCCGCTTTGGCCCCAGCTGTAAGGAGCGTTGTGTGTTCTCTCATGTGTGTGTGTGTGTGTGTTCTCGTTTCAGTGTGTGGTGAGGGCCGCTTTGGCCCCAGCTGTAAGGAGCGTTGTGTGTTCTCTCATGTGTGTGTGTGTGTGTGTTCTCGTGTCAGTGTGTGGCGAGGGCCGCTTTGGCCCCAGCTGTAAGGAGTGTCGTGTGTTCTCTCATGTGTGTGTGTGTGTGTGTGTGTTCTCGTGTCAGTGTGTGGCGAGGGCCGCTTTGGCCCCAGCTGTAAGGAGCGTTGTGTGTTCTCTCATGTGTGTGTGTGTGTGTGTGTGTGTGTTCTCTCATGTGTGTGTGTGTTCTCGTGTCAGTGTGTGGCGAGGGCCGCTTTGGCCCCAGCTGTAAGGAGCGTTGTGTGTTCTCTCATGTGTGTGTGTGTTCTCTCATGTGTGTGTGTGTTCTCGTGTCAGTATGTGGCGAGGGCCGCTTTGGCCCCAGCTGTAAGGAGCGTTGTGTGTTCTCTCATGTGTGTGTGTGTGTGTGTGTGTGTGTTCTCGTGTCAGTGTGTGGCGAGGGCCGCTTTGGCCCCAGCTGTAAGGAGTGTCGTGTGTTCTCTCGTGTGTGTGTGTGTGTGTGTTCTCGTGTCAGTGTGTGGCGAGGGCCGCTTTGGCCCCAGCTGTAAGGAGTGTCGTGTGTTCTCTCATGTGTGTGTGTGTGTGTTCTCGTGTCAGTGTGTGGCGAGGGCCGCTTTGGCCCCAGCTGTAAGGAGTGTCGTGTGTTCTCTCATGTGTGTGTGTGTGTGTTCTCGTGTCAGTGTGTGGCGAGGGCCGCTTTGGCCCCAGCTGTAAGGAGCGTTGTGTAGACGGCCTCTGCCGATCGCTGGTCTTCTGTCTCAGGGACCCGTACGGCTGCTCCTGTGCGTCTGGATGGAAGGGCCTGAACTGCAGCGAGGGTGAGTTTAACACACACCAGATGTGTTCTACATTCATTATGTAGTTTTGTTTAATATCCCTCATTTTACTGGCTAAATGGTGTTAAAGCTGCAGTCGGCAAGTCTGGCAGATTCAGGGGACTTAGCCAATATGTTGAATGTTTGCAACTCTCATGCCCCTCCCCCACTACCACAAGCCCCTCCCATCGAGTTAGTGCTCGTCAGTGCGTGTATATGTAACGTGCGCGAGTGGGGGGGGGGGGGGTTCTGTGGCGTGTGTACGAACTGTGATTGACAGTCAGATCTCACACAGCCCTGCGGTGATTGGACCGGTGGATTTTTGCAAAAAAAAAAAAAAAAGGCTCCAAGTAGCGCCAAGAAGCGCCTCTAGGCTGATTTATGTTGTTCTGGTTTCAGTGAATATGATCAAAAAATCTTGCCGACTGCAGCTTTAATAATGGCAGTACTGTGAACTAGTTTTGTTGAAGATGTTCTGAAGTGAAATGCTATGTGCAATGAAAATAAACACAGTTCAAATATATATATTTTCTTTTGTAATTTTAATGAAATAAAATGTGAATTGTATTTCATTACAACCTTAATCTGTTAAGAAGTGATATTTTTGTATTATTATGATGACTAAAATATATGTCAGATATATTGAGGACACGTCTTCTGATTTCAGCCTGTCCGTCTGGTTATTACGGCGCCGACTGTAAACAGAAATGTGTGTGTGAACGGGGCGAATGCAATCGCTTCAGAGGGTGTGTGTGTCCAGGCAGGCACGGAGCTCGCTGTGAGAGACAAGGTGAAAATCATTTCAATTCAAAGCGAGCGAAACTGTCCTGTGTTTCTGAGAGATTCCCGGCCTCAATCCATGTCTGCATGTGGTTTCTTCGAAAGACATGAGACCTGTGATCGCGAGCAGTCTGAGAGACATCGAGCTCAACTCAGGCGCCACAAACACGATCAACTGCTCTGCGTCAGGCCAGCCCGCTCCGTTACACGGGGAAATAACCCTGGTCAAACCCGACAAATCCAAGCTCTATGTGAGTTGGATCGCAGTGACATCATCATTACTCTGTTTCAGCATGAGTTTATCTCCTCTAATCTCTGAGAAATCTGATAGTCTCTTGTTTTTCTCAGGCAGTGGACACACAGACAGAAAACGATCAAACAACGTCCACATTCAGGGTGGAGAAAACCACTTTATCTGCCGCCGGCCGCTGGTTGTGTCAGGTGAAAACCAAAAACTTTCAGGAGGAGAAGGACTTTATAGTGAATGTCAAAGGTGAGATTCTTCAACCTTCTCCATTTCTTTCCCAGCAATTATAACATAAGTGTTTCAAACGCCAAAATGTGGCATGGCTTTGAAGTTAGCAATGTCCATTATTAATAGTAATTATTTAATGTGGCAGGCAGCCATAATACTTTATAAAAGTAAGTTCAAGTTGAGGTTTATTGTCATTCCACTACATGTGGGAACATACAGTGGGACGAAATGTCGTGCCTCACAGGACCACGGTGCTACATAAGTACAAACATACAAAAATGTAACAGACATAAACATTGTTTGTCAAGCAACTGGTTGGGGAACAGTACAGTAGTGCATGAAAATATAATATAATAATAGCTGTTTTTTATACACGCAGCAGTGTGTGTAAAGTGTCTAGTGCATAGTTTGTAAAGTGTCTTAGTATGTTTCAGGAGGTAGGGGTTTGCATGGGGTTTCAGCGGGTGTAGTTTGAGTTCAGGGCCCTCACGGCCTGGGGGAAAAAGCTGTTGAGCAATCTGGCGGAGCGGGCTCTGATGCTCCGAAACCGTCTTCCTGATGGTAGGAGCTGGAAGAGACTGTGGGAGGGATGGGTGGAGTCCTTAACGATACTGTTGGTTTTGCTGGAGCATCGTGTAAGGAAAATGTCCAGGATGGAAGGGAGAGGGGCACCGATGATCTTTGCAGCTGTGTTCACTGTCCGCTGGAGGGTCTTGCGGTCAGCAGCACTGCAGTTCCCGTACCAAACAGTGATGCAGCTAGTCAGCACACTCTCAATGTTGCCCCTGTAGAATGTGGCGAGAATAGGTGGAGGGAGGCTTGCTCTTTTCAGCCGGCGGAGAAAGTGTAGGCGCTGTTGTGCCTTTTTGGAGAGTGACATGGTGTTGGTGGTCCAGGTGAGATCCTCTGTGATATGCACCCCCAGAAATTTAGTGCTGCTGACTCTCTCCACAGTCGAGCTGTCGATGGTCAATGGGGGGTGGTCAACCGAGTTTCTCCTGAAGTCTATCACGACCTCCTTTGTCTTTCCCATATTGAGGGACAGATTGTTAGTGCCACACCATTCAGCCAGCTGTGCCACTTCCTCTCTGTAGGGCGTTTCATCATTGTTGCTGATGAGACCTACCACTGTTGTGTCATCAGCAAACTTGATTATGTGGTTGGAGCTGAACTTGGCATTACAGTCGTGGGTCAGCAGTGTGAAGAGCAGCGGGCTGAGCACACAGCCTTGTGGGGAACCTGTGCTAAGTGTGGTAGTGCTCGAGGTGTTGTGGCCGACACGGACTGACTGAGGTCTTCCGGTAAGAAAGTCCAGGATCCAATTACAAAGGGAATTGTTGAGGCCCAGCAGGTTTAGTTTATTTATGAGCTGTTGTGGAATAATTGTGTTGAATGCCGAGCTGAAGTCAATGAACAGCATTCTAACATAGGAGTCTTTATTTTCTAGGTGGGTTAGAGCCAGGTGGAGGGTGGAGGAAATTCCATCGTCCGTAGAGCGGTTGGGACGGTATGCAACAATATGTTGTCAAAACAGTCTCCCCAAGAAAAGATTGCTGGGTTTTCTTTTACAGTTCGCATGTAAAACATAAAAAATACTAAACCGAGAAAGGGGATTAGGTTATGATAATAAGTCTATGATGTGATAAGTATGTGTGCTTTCACAGTGGTGTTAAAAATGGCTCTGACTGGCTTAGAACCTGAGCGATTGGACGGACAGAAATCAGTGTTTTCCTAAGGCTTCTCTTCATGCGAATACTGTAAAACACAAATGCTCTGACGTTCATGTAAATCTGTTCCTGCTCCGGTTCCACCGTGTCTGAGATGCTGTTAACATACACAAACAGTCACATCGAGCATTAACTGCACAATGTGCAAATACAATATTTTCATGGCATTTAGACTGATTGTGATTAAAATAATGTTTGCCGTCTCTGTCCCACAATAAAAAGTCTTTGTAAACACACTTTGTCATGGTAAATGTGACTTCTGGGTCCTTCATTATGTTAAGATGGCTCAGCTATCAGTGCCCTATGTTAGTATTTCTGTGAATTGGTAAATAAATGGATTGCAGCCCGGATCCTGGGACTGGATCTGCGATCTGATAACCAGTGACCTCTAATGTAGAACGTGTGTGCAGTCTAAAGCAGGAGATCACTGGCATAAAACAAGCAATATCAAGAGAGAAGCGAATATATTTATTTTACTTTTGCAATAGTTCATGCATTAATTTCCAGAACAAGCCATCTAACAGGCCGTTTCACATGTTAATCATAAGTCTTGTCTTGTGTCAGTTCCACCGCAGGCTCAGAATCGGCCCGTCCTGAACGGCAGCGGTCCACATCACCTGATTCTGCAGGTCGATAAGGATCCCTTCACGGGAGATGGACCAGTCACCTCGGTCAAGGTCGTCTACCGGCGGGCCAGCGCATCCACATGGAGAAGCGTTGAGGGTAACGGAGCTTAATGTGCTCGGAGTTTCTCAATGTGTGTGTTTTTGTGTGGTCTGTTTCTGCGTAAAACAGCTGGAACATTTCACATCCGAGGTTATAGGTCACTGTGTTACTCTTGGCAAGCTGTCTAGTGTAATAAATAATTCCATTGTGCAATAGATTACAAAAAGATGATGGAAATCTGATGAGCTGAACACATTTCTGATGGTTGTCATATACAGAACTTATTATGACTAGTCAGAAGAATGAGGCGGGTGAAGTCATTGCTCCGGAAAGACCCTTTCATTTCAGACTGGCGGAAAAGGCCAGAATCACTGACCGCATCTGATGTTTGTGTTTCACTACATGTAGGATTTTCCCTTATTAGCTAAATGTGTTTATTGGTGCTGGCACAAACAGAAGGACAGTGCAACTAGTGTTTCATAAGTGTTTCCAAAGGTGAAAAGAATGCAAATAGAAGGGACTGGAAAATCATCTTTGCAGATATGTATTGATAATATAAATACAGTATACAAAGTGTGTGTGTGTGTGTGTGTGTGTGTGTGACCTGATGGAGAAGTAGTTGCTCTCAACGACAACATAATCACTGATCCGCTGGTTTCCACCCTGGCGATCCTGAATAAAGACAGCACACCTCACCAGCTACAGATTAAACACGCAAGAGCTTTAATACTCCATCTTAGACAGACTAAAAACGGACAGCACTGGACGAGTCTCAGACTACAAGGAAAACTTGCACTACTTCAATTTGCCGACCATTCAGTGTCTCATTCTGTCTTGAAAAACCCCTCAATCTCAGATGAAATCCTAATATTTATGATTAAAGCAAGACTACAGTGTCTTCCAACGAAGTATAATTTGGCAACATGGTATCCATCCAAGCATGAACCCTACTGCATATTACATCCAACTCAGCAGGAGAATGAAACGGTTGCTCACATATTAAATGGATGCTACAATTATAAAGGACTTTATGTGGCCAGACACGACCGTTTGGTTGATTTGGTTGCAAAGGACTTGCATAAGGTAACCTGTGGACATGATAGTAAGATTTACATGCATAGCACTGTACAAATGAACTGGTTTCATCATAACACATCCGACAGTGAGTACTTTAAAAACATTCCTAATACTCCTGACGTTGTAATTGTAAACGAGGGTATGAAATCTGTGTGTATCCTTGAAGTGGCTTGCTGTTTTGACCTGTATATGGACACTTGTTACTATTCCAAATTATTGAAATATCAACCACTGGTAGATCTCATTTACCAACTTGGATACAATTGTAAATTAATCATTTTGGTATTTGGAAGTTTAGGCCATGTCCATAAGAGTGTGATCAGGGGGATGCAGTTAGGGGGGCTGCAAAAAAAGGAGGCAAAAAGGCTTGCAAAATTCTGCTCTGTTTCAGCCACCATAGGGAGCATGCAGATATGGAGACGGAGATGTTTTGTTTATCCTTGATGTGTCGAGTATTATAAATGAAAAGACTTGTACAAGTATGTTAGCCATGAACTGTAGACCTGTCACCTTGTCAAAGACCCTTCCCAGAGTATTTGGATCTTGTTTTCTTTGTAATGTCTTTCAGATCCAAATAAAAGCATTCAAATGTGTGTGTGTGAGAGAGAGAGACAGAGAGAGAGTGTGTGTGTGTGTGTGTGTGTGTGTGTGTGAGAGAGAGAGAGAGAGAGAGAGAGAGAGAGAGAGAGAGAGAGAGAGAGAGAGAGAGAGAGAGAGAGAGAGAGAGAGAGAGAGAGAGAGAGAGAGAGAGAGAGAGAGAGAGAGAGAGAGAGAGAGAGAGAGAGAGAGAGAGAGAGAGAGTGAGTGTGTGTGTGTGTGTGTGAGAGAGAGACAGAGTGATACTACCGAAAGAAGAAAACAAAACTCCACAAAGATCATTGGGAAGAGTGTTGTTTAGTTCTGAATAAGAAAACAATCCAAACGTCGCTGTCATTGACTCATTATTCTTGCTGTGTGGAATTCATACCCAATATGTGACAGTCTGTGAATCTGTTGCTGGATGTTTGAGTCGATACCAGATATGAATTAAAAAGAGACTCATTTGGCTGTGTGTTGAACAGCGAGCGGCTCTCTGGTAAAGCTGGATAATCTTTCTCCCATGATGGACTACACTACACTGGTGCAGCTCAGCCGCCGCGGACCAGGAGGAGCCGGCCAGCACGGGCCCGAAGCCACTTTCTCCACACAGAGGCTCGGTAAGAACTCTTCCTAAGCCCTAACCCTAACCCTAACCCTAACCCCAAGAACTAAACCTAACCCTACTAACGCTCAACCACATCTAACATTCACCAAATGATGAGATATTAAAGTGTGTGTGTTCTGTCCTTAGAGCCGCTCGTGGGTGTGAAATTGACGCCTGTCAATCAGACCTCGCTGGTCCTGTCGTGGGACGCGGCTCCTGCCGACGACACCTGGGGTTACGAGGTCACGTGTCAGCAGGTCGGAGCTTCAGAAACCGTGAGGAGATTCCAGCTCGTGTCAAACTCCTCCAGTCTCCATCTGAGCGAGCTGAAACCCAGACACAAATACCAGTGCAGGGTGACGACGACCAGCAGCGCCACAGATCTGCCCTGTCCCACCGCCAGCGCCTGGACGCTCAGCGACCGTAAGCATGATGTTAAATCTCCTCATGTATATGGATTCCTTTCGTTACGGTTACAGAAGATTACCTGGATATTTTCTTAAACTTGTATATCTATATCTCCTCTGAAAGCTCTCTTGATGTCTCTCATCCACCCGGGTCTGGCCAATTGATTTCTACAGTTCTGTTCACATTACACACTGTTTGAGAGAGACTTCACAGAAACTCATGAAGTTGATGCCTTATTGTGCACAATGAGCACTTTAGAGTTGTGCGATGGGATATTTTACACTTACAGGCGATCAAACAATGAAGCATATACAGTATAGCACTGTACGTATGTACACAAGCAGCACTTGTACTTGGTGGGGGTAATTCATTGGTTATGCGTTGATCCTTCAGAGCTTCCTCCTCCTCCTGCCAACATCTCCACCTCTAACATCAGTGACAGCTCAGCCTTCATCACCTGGTGTGTGTCCGAGGGTCACTCCGTCTCCAGAGCCGTCATCCGCTACCAGCAGACGGAGCAGAAGGACTACAGCCAGCAGGTGGAGCTCGGCATGCAGCCGGACCAGACCAGCATGAGCTTCCAGCTCATGCTGGTGGAGCTCGGCGTGCAGCCGGACCAGACCAGCATGAGCTTCCAGCTCCGGGGCCTGAGGGCCGACAGCACCTACCAGCTGGAGCTCTGGACCCTCAACAACGTGGGAGAGAGTGTGGATCGGCCACAGGTCATCCTCCAGACGCTGACCCCGCAGGAGAGCAAACGTGAGTCTGAGATCTAACCTTCCTATGTGTCTTCATCCAGTGCATCTCAAAAAGCTTCCACTACTGAAGTCAGAATCTGGTTTTCAAGTGAAGCAGTGTATTTATGCGTGAACATATTCTGGAAACTCCCAACTGTCTCTGATGTTGCGCTGTACACAGGGGCGGGTTTACCATTTTGGGGGCCCTAAGCAAAGTTAGGATGGTACGTTCTGCTCAAAGGTACAGTTTTGGATTCATCAGAAGTTATACATTCATTTAGTTATCAAACATACTGTCTTTCTGCTGCAAAACATTATTTCAGCAAAATGAACAAAAATCAGCAGCCTAGTTACACAAGGAACTTGCCCATGTTTTTGGCAGAAATATCAGCAAAAACGACTTTATATATTTCAAACATTGATAAAGACAACTAAACAGTCAGTAATAAAATAAGAACCAATAAAGAAATTAAAAAACCATTAAAAAACTTTTGTTATTAAAGTTACAAAAGTTATTCAGTCAAGATCAACATCTATATGAGGATATTTTGACATCATTGTGTGTTTATTTGTCCGTTCAACTTAATTGAATTCGTATTTGCGGACTAGGCCTAGATGAATCAATAAGTGGAACAGAAATGTTAAGTATCCAATTCCTGACCTTAAGTATCTGATTCAAGAATTGAAATCAATTTCTGATTCACAAACCAGTTGTCCGGCGCAGCTTATTCAGTGTGCGACCGCGCCGGGTCTTCCACCTCATCAGAGGTTTCTTTTTCCATTTTGAAATTGTAAGCTTGTTCAAACTTTGAGTACTGGATTTCTTGTCTTTTGTTTCTTTCCATTTTTGAGTAATGCGTGGATATTTGTGCTTAATAATTGTTTCTGTCTACTAATCCGGGCCGCCCGGTAATAAATCATGTCAAAAGGAGTCATGGATTGAGTTAACTGCTTTTGGCCAGCAGGGGGCGTCCAAGCCTGCATTAGCGTGGTTTGCGTGGTGGTTAACAATGCTACGTTCTGTACAGACTGCTGCCGAGTGGGAACTTTAAGTGATCGATCACTCCGACGGGATTCACTCATCCTGATGTCTTTCAAACCTTACTTTTATTTGACTGTGAAAAATTTAATATTTTGAGAAATGCTTTCTTATTTATTTGTAATTTTTTTCATAGAAGAAAGTAAGTCATATGGGGAAGTAAATGGCAGAATGAATATTTCTGGGTGTTCCCTTAAGTATGTAGGTTGACTAAAGTGAGCATCCTTCTGAACCACAGAATCACAGATGAGATTGGCTGTACAGACTGAGAGAGTAACACTGCCCTCTACAGACACGGATCACTTACTGTTTATAAATCAGAATCAGAAAGAGCTTTATTGCACACACAAGGAATTTACCATGGTATTGTAGCCTCCAGTCTATACATATAAATTTAACAAGGCACATAATAACATTTACGAATAAGACGCATATAGGTTTAGTTAGGATATACATTTACAGATAATGAACATATTTCCAGTATTTTTTAGTAATATTTATTACAGTAGGACTGTGACGCTATTTTCTTCTAGAAACAAACTTTGTTGTATTATTTTCCTGTTATCTCTGTAAAGCTGCTTTGAAACAATCTGTATTGTAAAAAGCACTACATAAATAAAGGTGACTATTTTAAATAATAATATTAATAAATAGGACTAAATGAATTTTCAAAGATATTGCACTAAACAGTGGAGTGTTGCACTTGGAAGGCATTTAACTATTCAAGAGGAAAATAGCCTGTGGTAAGAAGCTGTTTCTGTGCCGAGATGTTCTAGTGCGCAGTGATCTGAGGTTCACACAGGCTGTGGCCGGGACGAGCGAGTCTGTGAAGATTTTCTGGAAGAGTACAGGTCCGGAGGGTGAGCAGATACCAATAATCCTCTCCGCAGTCCTGTCCTTTGTCAAGTCACATTTATTTATATAGTCCTTTTTACATTACAGATTGTTTCAAAGCCACTTTACAGCTTTGTATTTTCCTGATGTCTGATTTGGTGGCTGAACCACACCAGTTATAGAAGTGCACAGGACAGACTCAATGACGGCTGAGTAAAGCGGTGTCAGCTGGCGAAGGAAGTACAACCTCTGCTGGGCCGAGTCAATGTGATTGTCCCACTTCAGGTCCGGAGAGATGGTGCTGTGCAGGAACCTCCACAGTGCTGTTCATGATGCTGAGAGGAGGAGAGCAGGGGCTCCACCATCATCTCCATTGTTCTGAGCTTGTTCAGATCCAGGTTGTTGTGACTGCACCAGACAGCCAGTTGTTCAAACTCTTGTCTATATGCAGACTGGTGCAGTCATGTGTGTAGGTGAGAAGTGCAGTGGAGAGAGAACACACACCTGAGGAGCACCAGTGCCGATAGTGAGGGTCATGGATGTGAGTTTCCGCAGTAGCTGCCGCCTCTCTGTCAGAAAGCTGGTGATCCACTGACAGACTGGGCTGGGCAGGAAAAACTGGGTCAGTTTAATGATAGAAGATGGTGGTTGAAAGACGAACTGAAGTCCACAAATAAGATCCTTGCGTCCCAGGTCTGTCCAGATGTTGCAGGATATAATGTTGACTGCATTATATACAGACGTGCTTACTCTGAAGACAACTGAAGAGGATCCAGCAGAGGTCCAGTGATGTTCTTCTGGTGGGCCAACACCAGTCATTCAAACGACTTAAACAACATGAGAGCGACAGGTCTGTTAATAAGTCAAGTGATTTGGGGTTTTTTGGGGACCGGGGTGATAGTGAAGCGTTTGAAGCAGCAGGGAACTTCACACTGCTCCAGTGATCTGTTTAAGATCTGCGTGAAGATTGGGGTGAGATGGTCAGGCTTTTAAACAAGCAGCTGAGACACCATCTGGGCCTGAAGCTTTCCTAGTCTTCTGTTTTCTGAAGACCCGGCTCACGTCCTCCACACACACCTGAAGCGCAGGAGGTGGAGAAGGGTTGCAGGAGGTGCTGGTGAGTGTGTAAAGTGAAGATCAGAGTGGGTGTGAATCTAAGATTCTCAAACCTGCAGTAAAACGCATTCAGGTCCTCAGCCAGTAGTTGATTCTCCTGTCTTGTAATTGGTGATGTTCATCATACTCTTCTAGACTGATGCTGGGTCATAGAACTGGATTTTCAGCTTCTCAGAGTAGCTTCTTTTAGCTACTCTGATCTCCTTTGTTAGTCTGTTTCTGGTCTGGTTAGGTTAACTGATTTCAGTTTCTGACTGTAAGTCGGTATAAGATGAAGTAGACTGTGATCAGAGAGCCCCAAATCTGATCGTGGGACAGATATGCATTTTTTGTTACAGTGAATTACAGTTTTTGGTGGAAGACCTGGAAGCCCGGCATATTTGGTGCATTGACAGGTATGAATTCAGGTTTCAGTGAAGCACAATGCAGCAGAGTTTGAAAAGTCTTTCTTTGTGCGGGTGAGGAGAAATAGTTCACCCGTTTTGTTAGGAAGGCATCGAAGATTTGCTGGATGGATACTTATAGTTAGAAAGCCACATTCACAGACCTTAACAAGCGCGTCGTTTCCGTCTGACCGCGTGTTTGAACAGAACCGCTGCCCCTCAGATCACAGTTCAACACCAGAAACGTTCAACAAAGCATTTGAATAATCAAAGACTGGAAAAATGTTGTCTGGTGTGTGTTGCCTTATGTCCAGTAGTTTGTCTCTTGTGAAAAAGAAACAGCAAAAGAACTGGGGAGCTCCACACGAGGCAGCCATCTTATTCTTTACTATGATGAACATAAGCCTCAAAACTGTGGTCATTTCTCTTCTGCATGACACAAAAAAACAATGCAATACAGTGTTTGTCAAGTCAAGTCAAGTCATCTTCATTTATATAGCGCTTTTAACAATGGAGATTGTTTCAAAGCAGCTTTACAGAGATAAACGTACAATTTACGGTAACAGAGATTGTTTTGGCTTTATAGCGATTTTTGAATAATGTTATTTCCAGCTAAAGTTGGTTTTGATTGATTCACTTCCAGCTAAATTATCATTTGTTATTACATTAGGGGCCACTAAGACGACGGCGTTCTCTCTAAACAGACTTTAAACGCGAACCTGTGACCTGATGGCGTTCACATGCACATTAAAAATTGATTCTATAGTTATATTCGTTTGAATATGTGTGCGCAGGTTTGTAATTTCCCAACAAACCATGCCTAAACAAACTACTTGTCTTGCCTATAAATTTGATACAGAGTTTTATTTTATCACTTCGAGGTACGCGAACCGGATTTTCAAGAGCGCTTTATCTGTAGAGTGGGAAAGGGATCCTCCATAGGGAGAGGATAGTTGACACTTCAGCACTGCATTGTCATCGGGTCCAGGCGAATCTCCTTGGTCAGATCTGGATACGGCCTGGATCCGGCAGGCTGCAGGAAAACCTCGGGATAAACAAAGACACTAAAGTTAGCGTAGATGCCATTCTTCTTATGATGTAACCAGTACATCTGGATTTAAGGGAAGTGTTCCCAGTTCCGGCTGACCTAATCTATGCAGCCTAACATTGAATTATCGAAGTCTATAATGTATTATGTGTATGCTAGGTCAAAGAGATGTGTTTTTAGTCTAGCTTTGAACTGACAGAGTGTGTCTGCTTCCCGGACAATGGTAGGAAGACTATTCCAAAGTTTTGGTGCTAAATAGGAAAAGGATCTACCGCCAGCAGTCGATTTTGATATTCTAGGTATTATCAACTGGCCGGAGTTTTGAGATCGCAATAGACGTGAAGGACTATAATGCTTTAAAAGCTCACTCAAGTACTGCGGAGGTAAGCCATTTAGTGCTTTGTAAGTAATCAACAATATTTTAAAATTTATACGATGTTTAATAGGCAGCCAATGCAGTGTTGACAGAACCGGGCTAATATGGTCATATTTCCTGGTTCTGGTAAGAACTCGAGCGGCTGCGTTTTGAACTAGCTGTAGTTTGTTTATTAAGCGTGCAGGGCAACCACCCAGTAGAGCATTACAGTAATCTAGCCTTGATGTCATGAACGCATGAACTAATTGTTCTGCATTTGTTAATGAGAGCATATGGCGTAATTTAGATATGTTTTTAAGATGGAAAAATACGGTTTTACAGATACTAGACACGTGACTTTCAAATGAGAGATTGGTATCAAAGAGCACACACACACACACACACACACACACACACACACATTCCTAACCGACGACGAAGACTTAACAGAGCAGCCATCAAGTGTTAGACAGTATTCTAGGTTATTACGTGTGGAAGTTTTTTGTCCAATAATTAGAATCTCAGTTTTTTCAGAATTTAGTAGTAGGAAATTACTAGTCATCCAATTTTTTATATCGGCTATGCATTCCGTTAATTTTGTGAATTGGTAAGTTTCGTCGGGGCGTGAAGAAATATACAGCTGAGTATCATCGGCATAACAGTGAAAACTAGTTCCATGTTCCCTAATGATATCTCCTAATGGTAGCATGTACAGAGTGAACAGCAACGGTCCTAGTACTGAGCCTTGTGGTACGCCATACTGAACTTGTGATCGATAAGACATCTCTTCATTTACTGCTACAAACTGATAACGGTCAGATAAGTATGATTTAAACCATGCTAGTGCAACTCCACTAATGCCAACATAATTTTCGAGTCTATTTAAAAGAATGTTGTGGTCAATAGTATCAAATGCAGCACTAAGATCAAGTAACACTAATAGAGAGATACAACCACGATCGGATGATAAGAGCAGATCATGTGTGACTCTGATGAGAGCAGTCTCAGTACTATGGTACGGTCTGAATCCTGACTGAAAATCCTCGCAGATAGCATTTCTTTCTAGAAAGGAACACAGTTGTGAGGATACGGCTTTTTCTAATATCTTTGATAGAAAAGGCAGATTCGAGATCGGCCTGTAATTGACTAATTTTGTAGGATCAAGTTGCGTTTTTTTAACAAGTGGTTTTATCATAGCCAGCTTAAAGGTTTTTGGTACGTATCCTAGAGACAAAGACGAATTAATGATATTAAGAAGAGGATCTATGACCTCTGGAAGCATCTCTTTCAGTAGCTTAGTCGGTATAGGGTCTAACATACATGTTGTCGATTTAGATGATTTAACGAGTTTAGAAAATTCGTCCTCTCCTATGGCAACAAATGAATCAAATTTTTCCTCAGGGACACTACAATGCACTCCCTGATGCGATACTGTGGTAGACGGTTGCATAGTTATAATTTTGTCCCAGACAAATACTTTTGTTGTACCAGACAAATACTTTAACGCCATGTGATCCAGGCACAAATAATACATTTTGACCATTTTAAAAATAAATAAATTCAAACAAATGAACAAAATATAATGAAGGTAAATGTGTATTATTGAGCAAAATGGGTACAAATGTGCGAAAAACAATGAAATATGCTAATACTGTTTAATTCACATTACGTTAATTAATGCTACATTATTAACATTTATTTAGCATACTACATTATTTAACCCTCTGGGGTCTAAGCTGTTTTTGGGGTCCTTGAGATATTTTGACATGCCCTGACATTTGTGCTTTTTTCAGTTGCTTATAAACATATTAATGGCACAGGTGTAATTGCACTCTATTTAGCACAAACAGGGCTACCATAATATGTGAGCAACATGTATGTACATGTTTGTATTTTTGAGAGAATATTGTTTATGCATGGTTTTTGAAAAAACTAAAAATGAAAGTTTCTGAAATAAGGCCACAAAACACATACTAAATATGTGTCCACAAGACTTTTGACTAATGGATGTTGTCGCCTAGAGTTTTTTCTTCAAAATGATCGGAAAATCATCCTGCCTAATCATTCACATAAAACAATAGATTATTTTAAATTGTGAAAAACATTTTTTTGTTTGGAAAGGCAATATGCGAACGGGCGTGAACGGCCCAACCCCCTCATGAATAATTAGGTGGTTCTCACCTGAGAAGACAAAGACCCGCATAATAATGAGCCTTTCATTCAGGTGTGTCACACAAGAAAGAATGCAAGGACAATATATATACATATATACATACACACACACACACATATATATATATACACTACCATTCAAAAGTTTGGGGTCAGTGAGAATTTTATTTTTATTTTTTAGAGGAAAGAAATCAATACTTTTATTTATCAAGGAATAATTAATTTGATCGAAAGTGACAGTAAAGACATTTATAATGTTACAAAAGATTCTAACCCTAACCCTATTCATCAAAGAATCAAAAAAAAAAAAAAAAAAAAACTGTACAACTGACAGACCAACAACTGTTTCAACATTGATAATAATAATAAATGTTTCTTGAGCATCAAATCCTCATATTATACTGATTTGTGAAGGATCATTTGACACTGAAGACACTGACTGTAATGACGGAGAAGAGGCAGTCGAATCCATCTGCAGCACTTTATTCAAACAGGTAATAAAACAAGGAATCACTGACATGAAACAAATGCACACGTTTCAGCATGTAGCGTGGCAAAACAAGACTTCGCAATGAACATAGAACTGAGCAGTCCAGATAAAGGGTAGGTAACGATTAACAGGTGGGAGTGATGAGACTGAATGGAGAAACCAGGCAGGGATGGAACCTAATGATAGCAGAGGGGAATGATAGGAAGTGCAGTTCTAGAACTCAGGTGACAAGGAGCGTGTGAGATCGGGGAGAGGTGAAGGCGCGCGCTCAGTGACACTGACACTGGTGATGCTGAAAATTCAGCTTTGATCACAGGAATAAATTACACTTTACTATATATTCACACAGAAAACAGCTGATTTACACTGGAGTAATATTTAATACTATAACTGATTTTTGTTGTATTTTTAATCAAATAAGCGCAGCCATGGTTAGCAGAAGAGAATTCTTTTAAAAGTATTTAAAATCGTACCGACCCCAAACTTTTGAACGGTAGTGTATATATATATATATAATCAAAATATAAATGAAAGTCAAAAGCACATTTTTAGTCATACCTGGAAACAAATCCTGTTCAAATAGGTTATATGGGCCATTCTATAGAATTGGTTCAAAGTTAGATTGGAAACATCTTGAAAAGAAAATGGTCTTTTTCCATAAATGTCTTATAAAGTATTATTTTTTAAAGTAGGCCAATACATTTTATCATACATATTTCAAAGTTAAAGGATTCATTATTTTGATATAGCCTAGCTTGCATTGGAACAAACACTATAACAGTTGATTAGTTTATTTTTGACAAAACATACTATATATTTAACATATGAGCAGAAACTGTCTAACAAAAGCTTATTTGATGTCTATTTTAGAGTAAAAACCTTATAATCTATCCAAAACTAGTCAACGACATGTTGGCATTACAGACACTATTCTATATCGCGATTAGAACAAATCTCAGTAGTCTATAGCAATATAGTTTGGATGTGTTCATGTAAAAATAACGTTTACTAATGTAGGAGCGAGATTGAATGAACGGCACAGATGCGATGTACATCTGTAGTAAACAACATCGCACGCGCGTCTGTGCCATTCATTCATTCACACACAGAAACGCAATTCATATTTAAACAGTCTTTGTGCAGTTTACAGACACTATTCAATAACGCGATTAGAACAAAGCACTTAAGAATAAATAACCTACTGCATCAGCTGAATCCGTGCTCCTCGAAATGAAACTACCAGCACTTCTGAGGTAACTTTTCCATGATTATTACGATAGTATTATTCCTCACAGCGCAGCAAGACGAGGTAAAGTACAAGATTCTTATTAAACTGGATGTTTTATCCAGCTGATGTGGGCGTTTTCATGGCTTGCATCAACATTTCCGTTTGAATAGCACGCGCTCTCAGTGGGCGTGGTCACATTAACACATCATACGCTATAATTAGCTGAAAGGAAAAAGACTGACATCTCTCTCTTTTCATACAGATTGCATAAACTGAGAATATTGTGAAAAATGTTTTTTATATAAATTACTTCATTTAAAAGAAGAGAATTTCAGCTTCATAAAGAAAAATTGTTTCAATCATTTTTCGGACTCGTTTCAGAATGAACTTCACTGACAGAGAGAATGCAAAATTCGCATCATGTTTATTTTTCTTTATTTGACAAAAAGCATAACACTTTGTTTTTATTGTGAGTATCCACAAAAAAATAGACACTTAACAGGATCTAATGATGTACAACACTTATATGTAAGATCAAAATCAACAGAGTAATTTGAGTCTCTTTGTCACTGATAAGGAAAAAAGTGAGCTTGTCGCGCCGGCGCGATAGCCGACCACAGAGGGTTAACACTTGACAGGTAACGTTCTGCAATATAGAATGTGATTTACAGCTGTATTCTAGACAGTAATCCTATCTGTTGTGTTTCAGAGCTGCACGGACTCACGGCTCATGGAAACATGCTCTTCTACGCCATACTGGGCTCCGCTGGCATGACGTGCATCACCATCCTGCTGGCCTTCTGCATCGTATTGCAGCTGAAGAGAGCCACCTTCCAGAGACGCATGGTGCAGGCCTTTCACAACATAGTGGTGAGATCACAACTGAATTCAGTCACAGCTTACTCTGTATAGCAGGGTTTCCAGTGATCCTGAAGACCTTCATTAGCTGCTTCAGGTCTGCTGGACCGGACCTACAGAGTCTGTAAACATCTGTCTTTCCCGTGCGCACAGAGAGAGGAGCCCGTGGTCCAGTTTAGCTCCGTGCCTCTAAACATGCCGAAGAAAGTTCCCAACTCCAGCCAGTCTGTGGCCTATCCAGCCCTGGATTGGAGCGACATAAAGTTCCAGGACGTGATCGGAGAGGGAAACTTTGGACAGGTGTTGAAAGCTCGCATTAAGAAAGACGGGCTGAGGATGGATGCGGCCATCAAGAGAATGAAAGGCAAGAGGAATTCGTCATTAGAGTCATTATGTGTGCTAGCGATTGCACAGTTTTTCTCACGACGTCTTATTCTCTGTCTACTCAATAGAATATGCATCTAAGGACGACCACAGGGACTTTGCGGGCGAACTGGAGGTCTTGTGTAAGCTGGGTCACCATCCGAACATCATTAACCTCCTGGGAGCGTGTGAACACAGAGGTGTGTGGCTCAAATGCATGATCTTCTTGATAGGGCATTACTGCATAACAGAGCTCATTTGCACTGTTTGCTTGTGCTGCAGGTTACCTGTATCTGGCCATTGAATACGCTCCTCACGGAAACCTGCTGGACTTCCTGCGTAAGAGCCGCGTGTTAGAGACGGACCCGGCCTTCGCCATCGCTAACAGCACCGCCTCCACGCTCTCCTCGCAGCAGCTCCTGCACTTCGCTGCGGACGTGGCACGAGGCATGGACTACCTGAGCCAGAAACAGGTGATCGCAGGAAACACACTGTCAAGTCAAGTCATCTTCATTTATTTAGCGCTTTTAATAAAGGATTGTTCCAAAGCGGCTTTACAGTGATAATAGGAAATTAAAGTAACAGAGATTGTTTTGGTTCTACAGCAGCTCCAGAATAAAGTTAATCTCCAGCTAAAGTCAGCTTTGATTGATTCACCTCCGTTGCAACGATCATCAGTTATTAACTTAGGGGCCGCTAACACGACACCGCTCTAACAGAAGACTCTTAAGTTCTCTCTACGCTAACTTCAAAAACGCGAGCCTGTGAGAACGCTGATGGCGAGCACATGCGCATTAAGAGTTCATTCTATAGGGATGCGCGTTTGAATATATGTGCCGGCGTGTAGTCCTTCCCTAAAAAACAAACCCTCAACAAACTACTTGTCTGGCCTTAAAATTTATAATACAGAATTTTTATCGCTTCGGCGTAGCCACGCGAACCGGAATTATCCCGACAATGCTTTATCTGTGGAGAGGTAAGGGAAGGAGGCCTTCACAGGGAGAGACTAGGGACACATCAGGACTGTGTTGTCGTCGCATCCAGAAGCAGGTCCTTCATCAGATCTGGATACGCCCTGGATCCGGCGGACTGCGGTAAACCTCAGGATAAACAGAGAGACGGTCCTAATAGCTGTCCTAAAAGTGTCTCTGCAATAGGATTATTTCCAGGATTAGTTCCCTAGAAACATTCCAGGATTTTTTTCCATATAGCGACTTAAATGGGGTCCAATGGGTTGAAGGTCCAAATGTGAGTTTCAGTGCAGCTTCAAAGTCTCGACACGATCCAGCCGAGGAATAAGAGTCTTATCTAGACAAACCATGAGCCATTTTATAACAAAATAAACATTTATATATCTTTTAACCACAAATGCTCATCTTGCACTAGCACGACTTCTCGCATTACGTTATCACGTTGAAAGGTCACGTGTGACATAGGAGGAAGTACAGACCTAGTGTTTACACAGCGAACGTGCAAAGACTAAGTCAAACTCCCTTTACAAAAAATAAATAAATAAATAAATAAAAGGTAAAACAACGACTTCGGAAGATTTTGAAGTTGGAGGAGAAAATGAGTTGGAGGAGTTTTTCGTCCTGCCCTCTCACAGAGCTAGTGCAACTGCCTTATTCCTCGGCAGCTGCAATTTAGACATTCAACCCGTTGGACCCATTGAAGTCCATTATATGGAGAAAAATCCTGGAATGTTTTCCTCAAAAACCTTTATTTCTTTTCAACTGAAGAAAGAAAGACATGAACACCTTGGATGATGTGGGGGTTAGTAAATTATCAGGAAATTTTAATTCTGAAGTGAACTAATCCTTTAATTGGGCTCACCAAACACATATTTATGTTTACTGATGCTAAACTATATAATTGATCATTTTCTCATACTGTATCTGCGCTTGTGTCATGCCTCACATCAGGACACCCTCATTCTTCTCACATAATCAAGTCGTTTACACTCTAGTCAATATGTCTTTTTTTTTACTACTTTGAAACCTACTTTAAAGTTTGCGTTCTCGAGCCACCAAAACACTGTTGTCGTTAAATTAACGGCCAGAATGGATAAAAAGTTTTCTATTTTCTGTTGAAGACGGTGTTGTGTAAGTACCCCTAAGGTAATATATAATGACTTTTACAATGGAAATTAATAAATTAAAAACTTACTTAAACTGGACAATATCTTTCTTGTAGATCTGCTGTACAGCCAAAACAATCATTGTTGGATTAATTTCCTGTTATCACTGTAAAGCTGCTTTGAAACAATCTGTATTGTAAAAAGCACTATATTAATGTAGGTGACTTGACTATGTGCATTTATTTGGTTAGTCACATTACCTTGCTATTTCCAAGTTGGCACCACTGCATATTTAATTAACATTTCTGAATATTTTTCTTTTGCAGTTTATTCACAGAGATCTAGCAGCCAGAAACATCCTGGTAGGAGAAAACTTTATGGCAAAGATCGCTGATTTCGGCCTGTCCAGAGGTCAGGAGGTTTACGTGAAGAAGACAATGGTAAAGATCTGAAGGCCGCTGCTCTTGTCATGCATAAATGAACGTGTGATTTAACGTGTGTGTTTCTCCGCAGGGCCGTCTGCCGGTGAGATGGATGGCCATTGAATCTCTCAACTACAGTGTTTACACCACCAACAGTGACGTGTAAGAGTCTTTCAGTCTGTTGTGTCTGCCTGAGAGTAACGTGTGTTGTGTCTGCGCTGAGAGTAATGTGTGTTGTGTCTGCCTGAGAGTAATGTGTGTTGTGTCTGCCTGAGAGTAACGTGTGTTGTGTCTGCGCTGAGAGTAATGTGTGTTGTGTCTGCCTGAGAGTAATGTGTGTTGTGTCTGCCTGAGAGTAACGTGTGTTGTGTCTGCGCTGAGAGTAATGTGTGTTGTGTCTGCCTGAGAGTAACGTGTGTTGTGTCTGCCTGAGAGTAACGTGTGTTGTGTCTGCCTGAGAGTAACGTGTGTTGTGTCTGCCTGAGAGTAACGTGTGTTGTGTCTGCGCTGAGAGTAACGTGTGTTGTGTCTGCGCTGAGAGTAACGTGTGTTGTGTCTGCGCTGAGAGTAACGTGTGTTGTGTCTGCCTGAGAGTAACGTGTGTTGTGTCTGCCTGAGAGTAACGTGTGTTGTGTCTGCGCTGAGAGTAACGTGTGTTGTGTCTGCCTGAGAGTAATGTGTGTTGTGTCTGCCTGAGAGTAACGTGTGTTGTGTCTGCCTGAGAGTAACGTGTGTTGTGTCTGCCTGAGAGTAATGTGTGTTGTGTCTGCCTGAGAGTAACGTGTGTTGTGTCTGCCTGAGAGTAACGTGTGTTGCGTCTGCGCTGAGAGTAACGTGTGTTGTGTCTGCGCTGAGAGTAATGTGTGTTGTGTCTGCCTGAGAGTAATGTGTGTTGCGTCTGCGCTGAGAGTAACGTGTGTTGTGTCTGCGCTGAGAGTAACGTGTGTTGTGTCTGCCTGAGAGTAACGTGTGTTGTGTCTGCCTGAGAGTAACGTGTGTTGCGTCTGCGCTGAGAGTAACGTGTGTTGTGTCTGCCTGAGAGTAATGTGTGTTGTGTCTGCCTGAGAGTAACGTGTGTTGTGTCTGCCTGAGAGTAACGTGTGTTGCGTCTGCGCTGAGAGTAACGTGTGTTGTGTCTGCGCTGAGAGTAACGTGTGTTGTGTCTGCCTGAGAGTAATGTGTGTTGTGTCTGCCTGAGAGTAACGTGTGTTGTGTCTGCCTGAGAGTAACGTGTGTTGTGTCTGCCTGAGAGTAACGTGTGTTGTGTCTGCGCTGAGGGTAACGTGTGTTGTGTCTGCCTGAGAGTAACGTGTGTTGTGTCTGCCTGAGAGTAACGTGTGTTGTGTCTGCCTGAGAGTAACGTGTGTTGTGTCTGCCTGAGAGTAACGTGTGTTGTGTCTGAGCTGAGAGTAACGTGTGTTGTGTCTGCCTGAGAGTAACGTGTGTTGTGTCTGCGCTGAGAGTAACGTGTGTTGTGTCTGCCCTGAGAGTAACGTGTGTTGTGTCTGCCTGAGAGTAACGTGTGTTGTGTCTGCCTGAGAGTAACGTGTGTTGTGTCTGAGCTGAGAGTAACGTGTTGTGTCTGCCTGAGAGTAACGTGTGTTGTGTCTGCCTGAGAGTAACGTGTGTTTTGTCTGCCTGAGAGTAACGTGTGTTGTGTCTGCCTGAGAGTAACGTGTGTTGTGTCTGCCTGAGAGTAACGTGTGTTGCGTCTGCCTGAGAGTAATGTGTGTTGTGTCTGCCTGAGAGTAACGTGTGTTGTGTCTGCCTGAGAGTAACGTGTGTTGTGTCTGCCTGAGAGTAACGTGTGTTGTGTCTGCGCTGAGAGTAACAAGTGTTGTGTTGTGTCTGCCTGAGAGTAACGTGTGTTGTGTCTGCCTGAGAGTAACGTGTGTTGTGTCTGCCTGAGAGTAACGTGTGTTGTGTCTGCCTGAGAGTAACGTGTGTTGTGTCTGCCTGAGAGTAACGTGTGTTGTGTCTGCCTGAGAGTAACGTGTGTTGTGTCTGCGCTGAGAGTAACGTGTGTTGTGTCTGCGCTGAGAGTAACGTGTGTTGTGTCTGAGCTGAGAGTAACGTGTGTTGTGTCTGCCTGAGAGTAATGTGTGTTGTGTCTGCCTGAGAGTAACGTGTGTTGTGTCTGCCTGAGAGTAACGTGTGTTGTGTCTGCCTGAGAGTAACGTGTGTTGTGTCTGCCTGAGAGTAACGTGTGTTGTGTCTGCCTGAGAGTAACGTGTGTTGTGTCTGCGCTGAGAGTAACAAGTGTTGTGTTGTGTCTGCCTGAGAGTAACGTGTGTTGTGTCTGCCTGAGAGTAACGTGTGTTGTGTCTGCCTGAGAGTAACGTGTGTTGTGTCTGCCTGAGAGTAACGTGTGTTGTGTCTGCGCTGAGAGTAACGTGTGTTGTGTCTGAGCTGAGAGTAACGTGTGTTGTGTCTGCGCTGAGAGTAACGTGTGTTGTGTCTGCGCTGAGAGTAACGTGTGTTGTGTCTGCGCTGAGAGTAACGTGTGTTGTGTCTGCCTGAGAGTAACGTGTGTTGTGTCTGCCTGAGAGTAACGTGTGTTGTGTCTGAGCTGAGAGTAACGTGTGTTGTGTCTGAGCTGAGAGTAACGTGTGTTGTGTCTGAGCTGAGAGTAACGTGTGTTGTGTCTGCGCTGAGAGTAACGTGTGTTGTGTCTGCCTGAGAGTAACGTGTGTTGTGTCTGAGCTGAGAGTAACGTGTGTTGTGTCTGAGCTGAGAGTAACGTGTGTTGTGTCTGCGCTGAGAGTAACGTGTGTTGTGTCTGCGCTGAGAGTAACGTGTGTTGTGTCTGCGCTGAGAGTAACGTGTGTTGTGTCTGCCTGAGAGTAACGTGTGTTGTGTCTGCGCTGAGAGTAACGTGTGTTGTGTCTGCGCTGAGAGTAACGTGTGTTGTGTCTGCGCTGAGAGTAACGTGTGTTGTGTCTGCGCTGAGAGTAACGTGTGTTGTGTCTGCCTGAGAGTAACGTGTGTTGTGTCTGCCTGAGAGTAACGTGTGTTGTGTCTGCGCTGAGAGTAACGTGTGTTGTGTCTGCGCTGAGAGTAACGTGTGTTGTGTCTGCGCTGAGAGTAACGTGTGTTGTGTCTGCGCTGAGAGTAACGTGTGTTGTGTCTGCGCTGAGAGTAACGTGTGTTGTGTCTGCGCTGAGAGTAACGTGTGTTGTGTCTGCCTGAGAGTAACGTGTGTTGTGTCTGCCTGAGAGTAACGTGTGTTGTGTCTGCGCTGAGAGTAACGTGTGTTGTGTCTGCCTGAGAGTAACGTGTGTTGTGTCTGCCTGAGAGTAACGTGTGTTGTGTCTGCGCTGAGAGTAACGTGTGTTGTGTCTGCCTGAGAGTAACGTGTGTTGTGTCTGCGCTGAGAGTAACGTGTGTTGTGTCTGCGCTGAGAGTAACGTGTGTTGTGTCTGCGCTGAGAGTAACGTGTGTTGTGTCTGCGCTGAGAGTAACGTGTGTTGTGTCTGCGCTGAGAGTAACGTGTGTTGTGTCTGCGCTGAGAGTAACGTGTGTTGTGTCTGCCTGAGAGTAACGTGTGTTGTGTCTGCCTGAGAGTAACGTGTGTTGTGTCTGCCTGAGAGTAACGTGTGTTGTGTCTGAGCTGAGAGTAACGTGTGTTGTGTCTGCCTGAGAGTAACGTGTGTTGTGTCTGCGCTGAGAGTAACGTGTGTTGTGTCTGCCTGAGAGTAATGTGTGTTGTGTCTGCGCTGAGAGTAACGTGTGTTGTGTCTGAGCTGAGAGTAACGTGTGTTGTGTCTGCCTGAGAGTAACGTGTGTTGTGTCTGCCTGAAAGTAACGTGTGTTGTGTCTGCCTGAGAGTAACGTGTGTTGTGTCTGCCTGAGAGTAACGTGTGTTGTGTCTGAGCTGAGAGTAACGTGTGTTGTGTCTGCGCTGAGAGTAACGTGTGTTGTGTCTGCCTGAGAGTAACGTGTGTTGTGTCTGAGCTGAGAGTAACGTGTGTTGTGTCTGCGCTGAGAGTAACGTGTGTTGTGTCTGAGCTGAGAGTAACGTGTGTTGTGTCTGAGCTGAGAGTAACGTGTGTTGTGTCTGCGCTGAGAGTAACGTGTGTTGTGTCTGAGCTGAGAGTAACGTGTGTTGTGTCTGAGCTGAGAGTAACGTGTGTTGTGTCTGCCTGAGAGTAATGTGTGTTGTGTCTGCCTGAGAGTAACGTGTGTTGTGTCTGAGCTGAGAGTAACGTGTGTTGTGTCTGAGCTGAGAGTAACGTGTGTTGTGTCTGCCTGAGAGTAACGTGTGTTGTGTCTGAGCTGAGAGTAACGTGTGTTGTGTCTGCGCTGAGAGTAACGTGTGTTGTGTCTGCCTGAGAGTAACGTGTGTTGTGTCTGCCTGAGAGTAACGTGTGTTGTGTCTGCGCTGAGAGTAACGTGTGTTGTGTCTGAGCTGAGAGTAACGTGTGTTGTGTCTGCCTGAGAGTAACGTGTGTTGTGTCTGCGCTGAGAGTAACGTGTGTTGTGTCTGAGCTGAGAGTAACGTGTGTTGTGTCTGCCTGAGAGTAACGTGTGTTGTGTCTGCCCTGAGAGTAACGTGTGTTGTGTCTGAGCTGAGAGTAACGTGTGTTGTGTCTGAGCTGAGAGTAACGTGTGTTGTGTCTGCCTGAGAGTAACGTGTGTTGTGTCTGCCTGAGAGTAACGTGTGTTGTGTCTGAGCTGAGAGTAACGTGTGTTGTGTCTGCGCTGAGAGTAACGTGTGTTGTGTCTGCCTGAGAGTAACGTGTGTTGTGTCTGCCTGAGAGTAACGTGTGTTGTGTCTGCGCTGAGAGTAACGTGTGTTGTGTCTGAGCTGAGAGTAACGTGTGTTGTGTCTGAGCTGAGAGTAATGTGTGTTGTGTCTGCCTGAGAGTAACGTGTGTTGTGTCTGAGCTGAGAGTAACGTGTGTTGTGTCTGCGCTGAGAGTAACGTGTGTTGTGTCTGAGCTGAGAGTAACGTGTGTTGTGTCTGAGCTGAGAGTAACGTGTGTTGTGTCTGCCTGAGAGTAACGTGTGTTGTGTCTGCCTGAGAGTAACGTGTGTTGTGTCTGCGCTGAGAGTAACGTGTGTTGTGTCTGCGCTGAGAGTAACGTGTGTTGTGTCTGCGCTGAGAGTAACGTGTGTTGTGTCTGAGCTGAGAGTAACGTGTGTTGTGTCTGCCTGAGAGTAACGTGTGCTGTGTCTGCCTGAGAGTAACGTGTGTTGTGTCTGCCTGAGAGTAACGTGTGTTGTGTCTGAGCTGAGAGTAACGTGTGTTGTGTCTGAGCTGAGAGTAACGTGTGTTGTGTCTGCGCTGAGAGTAACGTGTGTTGTGTCTGCCTGAGAGTAACGTGTGTTGTGTCTGCGCTGAGAGTAACGTGTGTTGTGTCTGCGCTGAGAGTAACGTGTGTTGTGTCTGCCTGAGAGTAACGTGTGTTGTGTCTGCCTGAGAGTAACGTGTGTTGTGTCTGAGCTGAGAGTAACGTGTGTTGTGTCTGCCTGAGAGTAACGTGTGTTGTGTCTGCCTGAGAGTAACGTGTGTTGTGTCTGAGCTGAGAGTAACGTGTGTTGTGTCTGAGCTGAGAGTAACGTGTGTTGTGTCTGCCTGAGAGTAACGTGTGTTGTGTCTGCCTGAGAGTAACGTGTGTTGTGTCTGAGCTGAGAGTAACGTGTGTTGTGTCTGAGCTGAGAGTAACGTGTGTTGCGTCTGCGCTGAGAGTAACGTGTGTTGTGTCTGAGCTGAGAGTAACGTGTGTTGTGTCTGAGCTGAGAGTAACGTGTGTTGTGTCTGCGCTGAGAGTAACGTGTGTTGTGTCTGCCTGAGAGTAACGTGTGTTGTGTCTGCGCTGAGAGTAACGTGTGTTGTGTCTGCGCTGAGAGTAACGTGTGTTGTGTCTGCCTGAGAGTAACGTGTGTTGTGTCTGCCTGAGAGTAACGTGTGTTGTGTCTGCGCAGGTGGTCGTACGGCGTGCTGCTCTGGGAGGTGGTCAGCTTAGGTCTGTGTTCACTGCATATTACTCAATATTCTCAATATTACTGTAGGTGTATCCCAATTCACGTGCTTATGCACTATTTAGCATAAATAGTGTGAGTAATGAAAAAGTTCTAAAAATCACTTCAAAAACCTGCATGATGAATCATCAAGTTAATTGGACACTTCATGCACTCACTGATCGCAGGTTTAATTAAACCTAGCGTATGAAGACATGCTATCAGAATGATACTGAATGACTAAATAACCATATAAAACTCGTACACTAGATGGTATAGAGAACATTTAGTGCATAATTTGGGACACACCTACAGTATTGGAGGTCGGTTTCGTGTCTGAGGTGTTCCTGCTGACATGTGATTGGTTGGCTCTTGATTGGCAGGAGGAACACCGTACTGCGGTCTGACGTGCGCTGAGCTCTACGAGAAACTCCCACTGGGCTTCCGGCTGGAGAAGCCGCTCAACTGCGATGACGAGGTGTAAGTGTGAAGCGCCGGTCAGCCACACATTTGCGAGAGCAAAAGGAATGAAGACTTTCTCTGTCTCGCTCTACAGGTATGAGCTAATGAAACAGTGCTGGAAGGAGAAGCCGTACGAGAGACCGTCATTCGCTCAGATCCTGATGTCACTCAATCGTATGCTGGAGGAGCGGAAGGTATCATGGGGATTATTACTCTTCCAGTTCTGATGAAGAGCATCATCATTACATGTTGTTTTGCTGATGACCTTCTCCTCTCATTCTGTCCAGACGTACGTCAACACGACGCTCTATGAGAAGTTCACCTACGCCGGCATTGACTGTTCTGCGGAGGAGGCTGGCTGATCTCAGAGCTTCATTACGCTTAATATCATCCTCTAATTCACAGACTAGAGGTTTACACACACTGTGTGTATCATATTTCTGTTTGCTGTGAAGTGTTTATTGATATGTGAGATGTTGACTGCAGATGCTGACAGATGTGTAACATTTGTATATTTCATTGTTTTTAATAAAACCCCTGTTGTTTGATACTGCGAGCCCTTCTGTTTCTGAATGTACATACTGAAGACTTCAATCCGGCAGCTTTAAGCCCAATAAACCTCTGGAAAAGCTTCAGAACAATCAAACATGATTTCAGTCTGTAATTATGTGTACAGCTGCAGAAAGTGGTTGGATATCATTTTAAAGGGCAGACAAACATTAGCTGTGTGAATAAATGAGGAAATTAATTTTAAACGTCCATCATCATTTGTCTCTATGACGGAGTAACTTTTGTCTGGCTAAAGTTGTCATTTCTACTGATAGGTCACAAATCTCTCTAATTCACCTCTTTGATTTTATTTACATCCCACATCACAATAATTCTTTTTTTTTTTTACCAAAGCCACTTTGTGTGTATTTTCTGACTGAAGACATGCCATACATATAGTACAAATCCGTTTTGTAAAGTGCGTTTCACAATACAGATTGTTTCGAAGCAACTCTGGAGAAAAGACACGTCTTAATGATAATAAATTACTTAATAAATTACATCCTATGCTATCAATGTCAAATGCGAAACAATTAGTTAATGCGTTCATGAGCTCAAGGCTAGATTATTGTAATGCTCTTATGGGTGGTTGCCCTGCACGCTTAATAAACAAACTACAGCTATCAACACTGCATTTGCTCCCTATTAAACATCGTACAAATTTTAAAATATTGCTAATTACTTACAAAACACTAAATGGTTTAGCTCCCCAGTACTTGAGCGAGCTCTTAACGCATTGGAACCTATTTCAAAGTTTGCGTTCTCGAACCACCAGGCACTGTTGTTGTGCGAATGAGCGGTCGGATCGCATTAAGGGTTTTCTGTTAGAGCGGTGTCGTGTTAGCGGCCTCTAAGTTAATAACTAATGATCTTTGCAACAGAAGTGAATCAATCAAAACTAACTTTATCTGGACAATAACTTTATTCTAGAGCTGCTGTAAAGCCAAACAATCTGTTACTTTAATTTCCTATTATCACTGTTAAGCTGCTTTGAAACAATCTATATTATTAAAAGTGCTGTAAAAATACAGGTGACTTGACTTGACTTAATGATACACTGTCATTTGGGCCTAATGAACAGAGAATCTTACATTAAATCAGCAAACTTCCTTCAGTCTCTTTAATCCTAGTGAAGCGTTTCATTCTGACAACTAACATCCAATAAATCTGCCAGCTAGAACAAATATAATTCACATGTAAGGTTTGCTTTTTCCTGAATTAATGATAAAACAACACTACGTTTTTTTGCACTAGTTTTGGTAAATCGTCTAAAAGGGAACATTTGTATTTTTCCCATTTCAACACCTAAAATAGGCGAACAAACAACTTAATTGATTGTTTTCATGTCATAGTTTTGTATAATACATTTTTTTTGGTCCCTGATATTTCCTAGATGTTTTGTGATTTAATAACGATTATGAGCGCTGTTCAATATGACACAGAATTGTCACTTGCTTTATTGTAAAATACACAAAGGATGTTGTTTTACATGCCATGACCATCAGAGTCAGCTTCTCCTCACAGATGTGTTCAGTCATCAGCTTCAGGCCTCAGGGCAGCGTCACACACGCGTCTCCCTCTGTCTCTCTCCGCGCCAGGATCACACACACCTCGTACACGCGGAAGGCAGCGAAGGCGGTGGCCAGCAGACACGCGGCGCCCAAGATGTACCACCAGTTGAAGAGGCCGAAGGAAACTCCTTTGCCGATGCAGTAGATGCCGAAACACACCAGCGCCAGCGCGGAGAAGAGCTGCACACACAGCGGCGGCCCAGAGGACGCGTGTTTCTCGCTCATGATGAGAAGCGGTTGCTCACACTGCGGGACACACGCCTGAGAGGGAAACCTGCTGGATGGAGAAAACAACGCCACTGAGAACTGAGAATGGCTGAGCAGTGAAATATATGTGAGTCTGCGTCATGACGAGAACATGAAGCCACAGAAGAGCGATGTGTGTTTGTCATGAGCTCTGAAAGCAGAGGCGATGGTTGGGTGTTATATACGCTTTAGCTTATCTTAGATTAAAGAAAGCAGAAAGAGATCTGCGCTCTAATCCTGCTGGGAATTAAGATGCGCAGCGTTTAAGGAACACTCGTTTCAATTACACTGACTTACAGCTTTCATGTAATTAAGGTAAGTGTGACTGATAAAGAGCTTATAGATCCTAAGTTAGTGTTTTTGAGGTCAACCAGGGATATTTCAATGCAAAGACGGGCAGAAGATTTACAAACCAACTTCAACGTCAATCAAAAACACAATTTGCAGTCAAAAATTTCTGCTAAATATGGGGAGCGACACAGTTCAATACAATCAAAATATTCTTTATTACTTTAATTGTGCAATTCACAGGGTAGGATGAACAAGTTTCTGGTTGTTTCACGGACGGGACCTTGAAAATGGAACCCACAACATCAAGTAAACTTAATTTGTATTAGTAGATTAGTAACTCTGATGCTTGAACAGAATCAGTGGAGATGCTGGAGGAGCGTTAAAGGCCTTTCACACCAAGGACTATAACTATAAAGATAATTCTAAAAATCGTTCTCCATATTAAAAGAATAGCAGAGTTCACACCACAACTATAACGATAAAGATATGAGGAACGATATCTTTAGGATCACTTTGAGAACGTTTTTTTTCCCAGCTGTCGAACGATAAAACACTGACAGCCAATCAGAATCCACTCGAATTTAAAGGTCTTGCGCATTTAAAATGTCAGTCGACATTGTGGAGAAGGTCCAGAACAATCCACCACTGTTTGAAATGGATATGGAAAACAATCTTTCATACCCTCTGAATAAATGGTGAGAAGTATTACCTCAGGTATCCAGTGCTCGCTTCGACATCATTGTCTTGCTTCCTTTGAAGTTGAAAAGACTAGGTGTTGTTTTTATTCCACTATATTGACTAAGTCATCTAAATTCACTGTTAGATTATTGGATTGTTTACACTAGCTTCACTCAAAACACAGCATGCTGAGGACATCTGCTGGTTAAAGCCGTGTAAATGCAACAAGAACAGCAAAAACATGTTCAATGACGTTATACACATTTTGAAACCGCAGCGCGCAAGCTTAGAATAAACAGGTCGTTATCGTTCGTTGATTTAGAATAAAAATTCCCTGCCCTCACCCCATGGCACTTACATTTCTGCAAGCAACAAGCATCCATACTCCAAGCCATTGTTAAGGGCATTTTTATGTCAAATTTGCCTTTGTTAACACTATCGGATAGGTTTATGGTTTAGTGTAGGTGTATATTATTTTAAAACAATGGAGTATTAACCCCATTAGCACCACTCAACGGATATTTCAATTTAGAACTGGGTGATATGTACAAACACCAACGTAATAAAATGTTGCCAGAATCCCGTTCATTTGTTTCGGATAAAACATAACTCGCTTTTAGCACCACTCAGTGGATATTTCACTTTGAAACTGTCATGAAACATGCACTACACAACGTAATATAATTTTGCAGAAATGTTACCACAGGTATGTTTTTCCAATGAGCCTGTGCTGACATTATGTATAGCCCTATGTAATCTGATGTTATGAGATGAGATGTTCACTATTGCACTATGGACAGAGTAAAGGTAAAGTTAAATCACACATGATTTAAAATGCACAGGCTCTCTGTATGGGGTGATGAGGCAAATGGTAAAACCTTCTAGGTCTAGGCCTAAGCGAGGTCATCTCCGGTTGGGAAAGCAATCCCCTCCTCAAAATCCTGATGATTGCAGTGCTCACTCTGTGCACAATTTCATGCACAAAGGACCTGGGGATATCAAAGGACCGAGACACCACCCTGAAGGATGCTTGCATGACCGAGCCAGAAGAGGAACAGCAGCACCTCAATGTCCCTTTCGTGGTCAGAATCCAGCCTTATTGCAGCAGTGAGGGACATGATGGACTGGCGAGAAAGAAGGAACCATCTGTTGATATGAACATATTTTGTTAGAACAGTACATTTGTGCAGTTTAAGTTTTGATTCATGTTGTGCTCAATTAATACTTGTGTATAACTGTATTTATTCATTGAAATATTTTCTTTTGTTCATTTTTTTCTTTCATTTTATTCATATTCTGTTTTTGTTAGTAAAACAAAAGTCATCATTATTCATCTTTCTTGAAAATATTTTATTTAACTTGTTCATTTGCTCACATTGTCTATCGTTAAGTATTGTCCATTCAACAATAAATTGGCATGATGTTGTCACAGAGTCAGCCCCGCCCTCAGCATCAGATTCCTCCACACGCTCCCAATCACCTGATTACTGATCAGCACCTCCTGCAGCCAATCATCACTGCACTATATAAGCACACTCACTTCAGTTCACCCATGTCTGGGCTCATCATTCTAACTTGAACACCAATCTGACTACCTACCTCTGGATACTCACCTGAATGTTCCAGTCCTGAACTACCTCGTTTTCAGTCTTCTGTCTGCTACACATCTCCAGTCTTCCGGTTCACCTGCCAGCCATCCTCTGCAACCAAGATAAGAACTGTTAACATTCTGCCAGTAGCACCCAATATATCTTCCAACCAGTTACTCGCCTGCCATCTTGTTTCTAAATAAACTAAGTTGGGTGTGACATGTCTAATTAGAAAACAAAAAAAAGCATCCAAAGGTGTGCACTTCAAGCAGCAGCCCAATGCCTCCTTTGTGCTGATGTTTGGAACTCCATGAAAAAATGAAAACTGGAATCAAATCAGCAGGTAAGGCTGTCAGGTAATTGATGAAGGTGTTTGTGTGAATCTAGCTTTGCCTCTTTAAATTTTGGACTTGTGATGATGCATAAGTCATTTGACAAAGCTAATATGGCTGATGCAGGGAAAGAACATGCATACTTTTTTTTTTTTTTTTTTTTTTTTTTGCAGAGATGTTGTGCGTTCTATTATTTATCCGTGTCGGAGTTCCGACTAGGAAGACAGACGTTGCCTAGCAACACGCACCAACACGCCCCCTTTCCTCTGATTTTCCCGCTCGGATTTCGGAC